TGGGTGTGTGTGTAAGCGTGTGCACATGAGAGCTCACACTAGCAGAATAGAAACTATAAATCTTTTATGCATCTTTTTGTGTGAGATTGTGTTGGTGAAAGAGGGGTTTTGTGTGTGTGTGTGTGTGTGTGTGCGTGCCCGCATACTCCTGCGCCTTTTGTACATGTTGTGCGTACAATGCCGCCCCCCCCAGCTCTGACAGTGGTGTATTCCTCCACAGGTGCTATTTCAGTCGGCCGACTGTCATCCCAAAATGCTTTTCAGCTGAGTGCTTTTCAAAACAATCGTCATTGGTGCCCCCTGGCTCTTTTTACAAGGGCCCTCTGCCACACTGAGGTTTAACATGCTGCCTCTGATCTGCTGATCAGTGGAGGTGTGTGTGTGTGTGTGTGTGTGTGTAATGAGGTTCAAAACGGGAGGTTTGAGGGTGGGACTTGGATGCCCTTTAGCAACTTGCTCATTTGTCTACTTATTCTTCTGTCTGAAAGGAAGCAATAAAGATAATACAGTCTATAAATTATTTGTCACTCAACCAATGATGAAGATCCATTTTCTTGTTTAAAATGACAGCCTGGCAAAAGACAAAAGATATTTTGATGAGGAGGCGGGAGAAGTGGATTGAAATACAGAATACATGAGAGCAACATGATAACACACACATAAATCCCTAATAGATAAGGCCAACAAATAGCTGAGCAACAGCTGGGAAAAGGCGGATATCACAACAAGGCTGAACCACTCATCAATTAGCATGACAGGGTGCAATAACGTGCAGCTAATGGGCAGCACAGACACACAGGTGCATGTGCAAAGACGTGTTGTTAGAAGCACTAAAATAAAAGGGATTACAGATACACAGAGACAGTGAGCAAGTGCAGACTTTACAGTGATATGTCAGGGCTGGGTATTAATGTTTAGTTGTGTTAAATGCAAAAAATATCAAACTTAACAACACATTTCACTTTTTCCAACTTAATATCTGTTCTGAGAATCTTGATATGGGTTTATTAAACTGCACTAGTCATCTGGACAAGGCTTATTTTTCACCATGGACCCTGTGCTCCTGCAGTTGTCTCCCTCGGTCACTTCATGGCAGTTTTGAGTGTTACAGACTACAGTACCACCACTTAACCCAACTACATCTTTTAGCAACATTGGCAGGGTCGGGTGCCCTGAAGTCTCAAGACAGATTGTTGGGTACATTATGTTTTTAAAAATGGGCAGTACAAAGGGAAAATGTCTCCTGTAAGTTGTGCAAGTCAGTGTTGTAATACTGTAAGGACACAATAACTCGCCACCGCACTCACATGTACTTCTGTCAGCTCCAAAACTAAAATGTCTTTTTAAGTTCAGTGGGACTGCAACTCTGACAAGATTTACTGTCATTTCAATGCTCTTTTTGAATTTAAGGATGCTTTCACACCTAACCTAACAAAATCTGGTGCGTTTGGTTCGGTTCATTTTGGCTGGTGTGAAACAAACTCTGGTCAAGCGGTCCAAACGATCTGCTTTCAGGCCACCTCTTAAGGGTTTCCTAGTGGTGTGAAAGCAAAGCAGACCAACTACAGGATTTTAGCTTTAATTCAAACTAATATCAAATCATGTTTGTGGTCGTCCAGCCTTTTCAACCCAAAAATCTTCCGGTCTGATCTCTCAGTCTGCAGGAGCACTTGTCAGTGAGCTGCTCAGTTACTTCCCAGTCTTAATTACATTGTATTAACACCAAGGAGCTGAGAATGGAAAGAAGCAGGAACATAAAAAAATTCAAACTCTTGACTTTTAACGGTATGAGAAAAAAGATGGAAATGGTATTTTAAATAGATTTACTGTGTATAAAATAAAACAATAAAGAGCTTGACCTAGACTAGTTGGGGATATCAAATTATTACAATTGGACAGAAATGGGGAAATATCAAGTCTTTACAATATACTGAAATTCGCTTAGTCATTTGGCCTGTTAAATGTCATCAAATAGTGAAAAATATCTTATCATAAGTTATCATAATGTTTTCAGATATCTTGTTTCATCCCACAACCACATCAGAACCCAAAGATATTTAGTTTACTGTCATAAAAGAATGACAAAACAAGAAAATATTGAAATTCAGCAAGTCGGAAACCAGTGAATTTTTGCTAAAATAAAATGGATAAAACGATAAATTAATTATCAAAATGTTGATACGTTTCTGTCAATCAACTAATTGATTAAATGAATCCCTTTTCAACAATCTGGTTGCTGGGAAAGACTCAGTTGTATGACTGAATGAAATTACACAATATCAGGACAACGTCAAGTAAAGCGATTCCCCTGTCAAGTTTTTTCAGTTGTTTGCCCCAGTATGAGCGGTATGCACGGTGGTGACTACTGTAGTCATCAGAGGGAAGACATACACACTCTTTTTACCCCCTGGGGCTGTGTTTGCATTGGTTCCTATAGTATGTGTGTGTTGGTATGTGTTTAAAGATGAGACCTCACACACACACCGTCAGTTGTGCACATCGTATCATGGTCAAACGACTTGTCTTTCACACGGTTCATTCCATAAAGCTGCAGTCCTGCTGGAAATGACAGCATATGGAAAACCTGTCTAAATGAGTCCACACATCAATTACATCAACACGTTCTCACCTCGTTCGCCTCCCCCTCTAGCCTCACTTTGCTGTTGCTCTCTCCCTGTCTTTCCTACATCTCTCTATTCATCACTTCTTTGCCCTTTCCCTCTGTCTATTCTCTGATCATTCCAGACTCCGCTTCTGTCTCTCACCTCTTCCAACGCTTCCCTTTTACTGTTTAATCATCGAGCCCATAGCTTCCAATAAAGGCTAGATTTTAATCTAGATTTGTTGACATGATGATATACTCATCATTAAGAGATCTCCCTTTAGTTTCAGTATTAGCAGCTGTTCATACGGGAAGAAGGCCTGTGTTAAAACAATGCGAAGAGGCTGTGAAGTAATGAAATACAATCCAGGAAGTTGGCTTTCAGATCTGTGAATTTGAAGGCTTATCAGACGCCAAAATACTGCTCAGCGGTTTTATAATTTGAGACAGGATTTAACAAATCTGGAAAAATCTCATGGCAGCAGACACTCATTTTTATCTTTTATGGTGACAGTCATGAGGTAGACTAAAGAAAATAGTGTTTGCGCGCCAGGAATTTGCTCTTGCATGTATTTGATTTGCCACATTGCAGCACCATGCTGGTTGGCGTTGCATTGTGGCAAACATTGAGTCAGATTCAGCTTGTTTTGGGTGCAACCCTCTCATTCATTTATATGGGACCACTGCAGGGTGGCCAGCATAACGGTCCCATTTGAATAAATAAAGGGGCTGCGGTTTTTTTACACAGCGCTGTTATCTGTAGAACACAGTATTAGGGTTTTTAGGGGGGTGTTTCAAAGCAAAGAGCAGGATTTTTGCATCCATATGATGAGGTACAGTGATTTGTCAGGTATTTAATTTTCTGGATTATCTAAAAAATAGGCCGGTTTATCTGATTATCATAAAATCTCGCTCTCAAGCTATGTGCTTGTGTCCGTACACAGTGGTTATGAACCAATCAATCCTGTGAGGAACTACTGGCAGCTATAGATGTGTGGAGAGTATTTCTTAACTGAAAGAAGTGGACTGATTTCAGTAAGAGTTTGACTACATTGTGTAGTTCATGAAACTGATTGGTTGAAGTTCGCTCATGATGGACAGATGGTTCATCCAGTCATCTGCCAAGTATTTTCTTTATTGTGCCTGCCCTTTTTCCAAACAGTTTTCAATGACTTCCGACTTCCCATATGGTTTTGTGTAACGAACCATCAGGCACAGTCAAGTTATATTGGCTCAGTCCTTTAGTCAAATAACTCACTCTACATTCACTAGATGCTGCTTCGGTTCACATTTTTAACTAGAACAAAAGAGTTTGTATTCATGACTAGAAAAAAATTATTTTTTTATTTTAGAGGTATTGAAAATATATATAAAAGTATAAATTATATTTGTAGTCAAAATTATGGCAGTAGAGTTAGTTTTGCTCTTAAGATTTATCTACCTGTACACTCAATCAAAACGAGCAGCACACAGGCTAGTCATTTTGTCTGCATGGAAGCTTAGCTGCACAATTTAGTGCGTATGTGCGTAGGCCAAGTTTTGTGTGTGTGTGTGGTGAGACCTTGACCTTGACTGTAGTCCCTAATGGAGGAGGCTGTTCTGTAAATGACTCAAACTCCCCCCGCCATACAGTGGTATGTAGCAGCCCATAAAGCATGCTTAAGTCCCACTCTGGTTTCAGGGAGTGGATCCCCACCTCCCCCTGTCCTGCCTAAGCCCGACCCCGCCCCTTCCTCACACTCTGAAATAGCCACGTCCTTGTCCCCACACGGAGCACAGTGTGAGTAGGGGTGTGTATATATGCGGCCGTGGTTGATTGAGGAGCAGATTGCTGGTGACAGGTCACACTGCGTTCCGTCCCTCCGACCCCCCCAGATTAGCCACCCAGAGCCCCAACCCTGCCCTCCCCTCTTCTGGGCCCCCACCTGTTGGGATCCCTCTGCTGCTCAGATCTCTCCCCCTCACACACACACACACACACACACACACACACACACAGTGGACAACCTGCGTTAACAGCATTCTCTTATTTGTCCGTCACTCACTCTGTGGGTGATAAAGGCCATTACGAGTCATTAAGGTGTGTTTGAGTGTGTGTGTTGCCCGGCTGGGATGTGTGTGGGTTGAAAAGACGCCTGTCACAGCACGCTCTCATAATTGCCCTCTTAGCCAATTATCCTCCATTTAAAAGCGAGTCACCTGCTCTGCTCCCATGTCCACACAAATGTAGCAACCAACACCACACATACAGAATAAATAACATAGAAACTTAATGTTTAATCATTGTTTGTTCCTGAGTGATATGTTTGTTTACTCTGCTGAAATCCTGTATGTGTTGTAATGCTTTTAGTTGTTTGTGTCAGTTCCCGTTCATACTGTTGTCTGCTTTCTCCTTCAGATTCTGATGCACACCAAAGACCTGGTTCAGAAGGTATTTAACCATATGTTGGTTGCCCTTATAAGTTAATATCATATAAATTAATGGCAAATAAAGACAATTCAAATACATTTGAAGTAGAACTGGAATATTTTACCTAAAATCTGTATTAAGATTGCTCGATCTCTTCTGATGTTTGTATATCTTGATTATGAGAAGTTAAAAAAATATTTTTTTATGATGAATAATCTTTTTTTTTTTTTTTCAAAATTAAAACTGACTTTTTAAAATACTTTATGCCTGAAAGACAAATAAGAAAAAAAGATCAAGAACTATTTGACTGAAATAATGAAATAATCAGAGAGATGATGTTTAAAAAAAGCTATATACAATATATACAATACTATATAATATATAAATAAATTGAGCAAATGTTTGTGTGAAAGTCCAATTGGGCAACTATGGCAGCCATCATCTGTGAACCATATATACGTATATAGATATCAATAATAAGTACAATATACAGGAGAATATATAAAAGTTTATAGTTTTATGTGTGTATATGATTGATGTGCAGTATATGTACTATACACTATTCTACAAAATATATACATAATAGAAAAGAAAGAGAATATTACAATTTAGCTTATAATACTATACTATTAAAATACATTAATAGTAATATTGTAGAGATGGTTAGAAACGGTGGTAGAAATACATTTAAGGTTATATTAATTCACTACATTTGTAATTTGAAGCAAATATATTTTCTTCTCTTACTTCCATAACATTTTTTTGTGTGTGTGTCATTTTCCTCTTGTGTGACTCAGATGAATCTGGAAGTCATCTACGGAGATACCGACTCCATTATGATCAACACCAACAGCAGGTCTCTGGAGGAGGTCTTCAAACTTGGCAATAAGGTGTGTAGTAGAGAAGCTGCATATTCTTATTTTTAAGTTGTTTTGATATTTGACATTTTCACTTGATGCATATGTGTGTCTATTATTTCCAGGTGAAGGCAGAAGTAAACAAGCTCTACAAACTGCTGGAGATAGATATTGACGGTGTGTTTAAGTCACTCTTACTGCTGAAGAAGAAGAAATACGCTGCCTTGGTGGTGGAGAACCACGGCGAAGGACGATACAGCGTCAAGCAGGAGCTCAAAGGCTTGGACATTGTCCGCAGAGATTGGTGTGACCTGGCCAAGGAATGTGGCAAGTACGTTAACTAAGCCAAATGGGAGCTGTGACTGAAAGCTTTTTTCGCATGCTAGTGTTAGCACGGTAGCACGTTAACAGTTACAATCCTTTTTAGTGTATATATATATATATCTGTCATTTCAAGGGACTTAAAAGGTATTCATTGATCTTTAAAAAGCAGTACACTTAAATACTCCTCTCCTTTTCTGTCCTCTGCTCTTGAAGTTATGTGATCGGTCAAATCTTGTCGGACCAGAATCGCGATGTCATTGTGGAGAACATCCAGAAACACCTGGTGGAGGTGGGAGAGAAAGTAGCAGCTGGAGACATACCACTCAACCAGTACGAGATACACAAGGTGAGGACGCGGCTGTATGTTTGCAGAGTGTATCAACAAGGTGGTTGCACATTTAGAGACAAACCAGCACACCCTATGTGAGGCTCTGGGAATCATTGGGTGTGTTTTTTAATGTTTATTCTATTGTATATGCTATTACCCGTCAGTTCATTATCACTTTCTTTCTCTTTCCTCAAGGCTCTGACTAAAGATCCTCAGGACTATCCGGATAAGAAGAGCCTCCCTCACGTCCACGTGGCTCTGTGGATCAACTCTCAGGGCGGTCACCGGGTCAAAGCTGGAGATACAATCTCTTACATCATCTGCAAGGTGTGTGTATGTGAGAGAACATAACTATTGTCTCGAAGTGACAGTAGGAGTTTTTATAATTGCATTTCAACACCTAATCAGGATTTGTAGTGTATGTACACTTAAACGACTGTATGTCTTTTCTTTCACCCCTAGGACGGCTCCACGCTGACAGCCAGTCAGAGAGCCTATGCTCTAGAGCAACTCCAGAAACAGGAGGGTCTCAGTCTGGACATTCAGTACTACCTGGCCCAGCAGGTCCACCCCGTGGTGTCCCGCATCTGTGACCCCATCGAGGGCATAGATAGCGTGCTCATAGCCACGTGGCTGGGTGAGTTAATGATAGACTGTAGAGGACTTCAGTTTTATTGAGAGTGGGTGGCCCAACATCATTCTGGTGTTAAATTATGACTTGAGGAATTTCAGTTTGTCTTATGCCTTTAGAAAAATGACAAATTACTGAAATTCAAGTCAAATGTTTAATGAAAGCATGTAATTATAATTAAATGAGTGAAAGGTTTTTAATTGGTGTTGTTGACTTGCGTAACACTTGGGATTAAATGCCTTTTCAGGATTTGTTGTTTAAAGTCAGTATTTTATAAATAACCATTGGCCATGAGGTATTTGTGGGGCACAGTTTACTTTGAGTGATAGTACTAATCCCTCTTTATGTATGTGTTAGCATTAGTCACGATTCCTGTTTTATAGTGTGTTGACAGCTGAGGCAGCCAAACATAGAAAAGTTGTCATACCTAATATCACAGCAGCCTAATAAAAGTACAAAATAGATGTTTCATTGTTGTCTAATAGTCATAAAAGTGATGTGGTTTGGATGGAAATTCCCAAAGTGTTTTGCCTTCTCTGCTTCAAATGTTCTACTTAATGTAAAAATGAGAAATGTAACACAATTTGTGGTGTAAAGCAGAATTATCTTTTGTCCATGCTAGGTCTGGACCCGAGTCAGTTCCGGGCTCAGCAGCAGTACCAGAGAGAGGAAGAGGCTGATGGCATGCTGGGAGCTCCAGTCCAGCTGACTGATGAGGAGCGCTACAAAGACTGTGAGAGGTTCACCTTCACCTGCCCTCAATGCAGCACTGACAACATCTACGACTGTGTCTTTGAAGGAGCTGTGAGTAGAAGCACACACTGTTAGCGATCAGAAACGTCCCTTTAGTAATCATCTGCTGTGTTTTTACATACATTCCTATGGCTGTGGAGAAAGTACAGCATTTCAAAATTGTGGGTTGTGAGCACGAGTTAAGAACTGGGTGTGTCTGCTGTCCATTTTTGAGTATAGTCAGTCAGGTACATCGATCAGTTTGCTATGACGTAACAATCACATGATTGTTGTCTAGCCAACAAAATGTTGAGAAATTAGGTATTCACATGAAGAATGCAGCTGCAAGATTTAACAAATATTCTGTCATGATTACTCATGGAAAAGTCTAAAATGGTGTTTTATGTGTCAGTGCACTATTCATTTTCCATTTATCCATTGTTCTTCTTCAAAACATTCAGTCATATTGAAAAATATGTGGAATCTAACACTAGAGTTTAGATCATCCCAGAGGAAATGTTGCCAAAACTGCTCCGGATGACTAAGAATCTTCTTTGGATCTGAGGGTCCGTTAGATAAACTAAATAATAAGCTAAGCTAAAGAGAAATTCCATCTAATCCAGTAGTTATTTTGCATACCCTCATTGATATAAATGGGGTGGACCATACAGTTGAATGAACACCTTTGTGAAACAATTTCAACCAAAACTGAACATTGTAACCTTCACGAGGGAGGAATTTATTGCAGGACTGTTAGACTGCATTACTTTTAGCCAGGTGTACCTAATAAACTGCCAACTGAGTGTACATTAAAGCTATCTAAGGCTGCAGCAGAAGAATAAGTTATGGAGTTCTAGCACACAAAACCATTCAAAGAACATCTCAGAGATGCCAAGAAAGACTGAAAGGAAAAATTAATGATAGCTTTGGTGTGTATCACTGGTGTATTGGATTAATCAGCAGAGGCACAGATAAAGAGTCTGTGAGTTGAAGAATGGTGTTTCCGAAGGCATTTCAGTCAAACTTCCTGTGAAGGATTCATGCTTTAGTCATCCTCCATATTGTGTCTCTGTCTGTATTTTTAGACAGCTGCCTGGCTCCAATGTGGACTCTGTTTTCATTGGCATAGTTTGGACTCCACAACTTGAAAAGCCTTTCCTTAACCCCTGCTGCTCTATGGACACACACACATACACACTG